TTTTATCCTCGATAATTATATTATTGAGTAAAAAACTTAAAATAAGCCCACTCGAGGTATCAAATGCCATCCCTAAAACTAGAACAAAGTCTGGATCAACCTCCTTTGAATTACACAAGCAACAAATTTAGGCAACCGAGAAAATTTCTTCAACTTCCATCTGCTTTGTCCAAAAGGCTCAGTGGGAGAGGATGAAAATGCACTGCCATCAACTTCACATGCATATTCAACACTTTCAGCCTTTCCACAAGCTATTTCATTCCAAATTTCTGTTTCCATGAATGTAACAGAAGGCACCCAACACTGTAGTATCTACGCGCAAAGACATTGTTTGCCATCTTCTCAAAATCATGAAAGTTATAGTTTATTCCACACATGAAAAATATGACCCTCCTGGGAAGAGATACAATATTGCACATACCATTTTTGCAGTCCAGAATGATGCTAACAGACCCTCCTGGGAAGAGATATGATGAATTTCGAAACACCATAGTGTCATCACAATCTTTGTTGGTTTTGCTGTAAAGAGAATTACACTCCACGATGAACACCTCCGGCCTTGGAGGCTCCTCATCGAAAACCGACGGACCATCGTACAACGACCCGTCAGCTTGCTCTCCTTCGAATTCGGGGATGTCGACGCGAAATGAGTCCTCCCAATGACCATAATCGCTATCAAGTCCCCAATCACATTCAAGTCTCCAATCGTGTCGGGCACGATATCCGCTAGCGCAGGCCGCCTCCTCGCGCCAGCCCATGTCGCTGCGTTGATCGTCGCCGTCCACGAAGCCGTCCAGAGGTGGCGGGAACCATTGTCGGGGCGCCCCGACATGACTGCGTCCCCCACAACCGCCTCTGTCTCCCCAGCGAAAGCCACGTCCCACAGCTCCATCGCGGTTCGTTTGCAATTCCAAAACAACCACGTTGTTAAGTGTCAAATGCAAATCCTCGATCCCAGTCAAAAGATCGGCAAACCAATCCGTGAAACGCACGTCCAATTCTTGAAATCGATAGTCAATCTGTTGAAACCGATCGTTGAAGGTTGCATTACGTAGTTTGTTTGCGGCATCTTGTCGTCCCAGCGACATCGCGAATCGTACTGACTGCTGATACCAACTGATGTAGGGAAAACGCACGAGTGAGAATGATAAACGAGTAAACGAGATACTCTCTCGTAATACACGCAAAACGAGATACTCTCTCGATAAAAATCACAATCAATTCATAT